ACAAGAAGAGAGGGACACAACCTAGAACAGATAATGGATGTCTATTCTATTAACATTTCTCTATCTGGAGAATGGGGCTGTTTTATATCTTCTCCCTGTCTTTGGGAGCCTAGGGCCCCACATTTCCTAAATCCGCCCCTGATACATACGCATAATGAACAGCTCCAGATTTCTCCTGCCTGGTAAATGTTTGATGACTGAGCGGAGGAGGAGGAGGGATTTTATTCCTGTAAGCTGCTCAAAAGTTGTATTTCAAACCCGTCTTTTTCTCCTTTCTTACCCTTGTCCTCTTCCCATGTAAATAAGGCCAACTCCCCCTAACTCCACACACCCCTCGGAGGCAGTTTAAAGACCCAACACTGTCTCCTTGTCAACCAGCTTACACTGGGGTCCTGTCGTGGCCTCTCTGTCTTTTGTGTTTGGGAGCTCAGAGAGACAGAATGAAAGAGAGAGAGAGGGAGAGAGCAAAGGGGGGAAAAGAGAGAGAGAGAAAGTAGGAAGCAAGGAAGGAGATGATGAAAAGTTCCTTAAAAAGATAACAAAGATGACATCACAGCTATTCCATCCAACAAGTTAAAATGTGGTTCGTATCCCAGTGATGATGATTAGCCAGAAGCACAAAATGTGTAGGAGCTGAGTCTGGGAGAGGGGAGAGAGAGAGAGGCCCACAGCTGAATGGGGCATTGTGGGAAAGACAGTGGGCACACTGGGCAGCAACACAGAACACTAACTCACACATCATGCCTGAGAGTCTGAAAACACCCACACTGGGCGACAATGGCAAACTTCATGGCTCCGCTTGGCCCCTTCTCAATACTCACACACAATGGCAGCATCTAAATAAGACGCTCTGTTATTTGTGAAATTCAACACAAATCATTCCTTCAGAGTTTCTGTCTGTTCGGGCGACGGCAGATGGCCGCCGGGGCAGAGCCGCAGAGAACCTGCATGTTTATATACATGCAGAAAAAAGTTCAGACCTGGGGTTGCATTATAAAGATGCAGAAGCTGCTCAAAGCTTAAAACAGAACATTTTAAAGTTTTTATTCAACCTGTTTAACGTCTCTACTGCAATTACTGGCAAGGTCACATTGTTTAACTGGTTTCTGCATTTCAAGGCTCACGTTAAACTGAATCAGTTTATCAAGTCAGGCCTAATTAGAAAGGGGTCAGCGGAGAACCGGCCTGAACAGGTCTGAGCCGATGTTTCTGCTCTCATCTGGGCGGCTGACTCTCTGCTGCTTCCCTGTGGAGCATGTGAGGAACTACAGCCGCTTTCAATAAGATGCAGCAGGTAAGAAAAAGAACATTAAAGATCAAAACAAGGATATAAAACAAAAAAATGCCTCCGCAGACTTTTATAAGGTTTATTACTTCATTTTTTAGATCTGACATTAATGTTCTGAGCTGTTATGGAAAAGTGGAAATACACTTAATGATAATAATAATATCTTTTTTTTTTTTTTTTTTTTTTACATAGTAATGGTTTATTAATCTCAGTTTTAAACCTATTTTAAATAAAAAATAAACTTAAGTTACATTTTAGCAAAAAAATAGGTCATGTTTAGTATGAGTAAGGAAAAAAATCTGAGTCACAGTTGTGAAATATTGTATAATTATGACTTAGATATTTCATAATCATATATATCCTGACTTATATATCATATCATGTAAATCCAGATAAAGATGATATATGATTTTATTTCTTTTTTTTTATCATGACACAATATCCTATCATAAAGAAATTGACAAATGTAAAGTCATATAAAAACTTGAAATGTAATTACTATCCTTGTGTTGTAAAACTACAACAAAACAAATAATAACAATGACAATGAGATTTCACTCAAAGACTGTATTTTGACAAAAGATGATGGAGAATAAAACACATAATTGTAGGTAAATAGGGATATATTTAAGTGCATTTCAGGCACACATGGTTTCATTTTGGTTGCTCTTCCTCACTTTGATCTGAGTTTACTGGTCACTTCTTTCACAAAAACAATTCTAAATTATTTTAGAAATAACAAAGTAATGAAAATTTTATTAAACGTAAACGTTAGCACGTGTTTTACACAGAAAATCTTGTTTCAAAGCTTGCTTAGAATTGTTTCTGGATATACTTGCCACTCACAATATGGCGGAAGCGCTACCGTATCATCCCAAAGGGGCGACTACACTTCCGTAGATCCATTAAGCTGTCGTAAAGTTGTCTGAAGTTGGAAATCAAAATAAAGAAATTTTCTTCAACTCATCTTATTTTTAAAAATTCAAAAAAATATATAAGATGGAATTAAATATCTTTAAAAAAAAATTAAGAGCTTTAATGTTCAGTTTGAAGTTTTACGTTGTTGACGTAACCGGTTCTTTACCAGTTGTCGCTTTACGGCAGAGCGTGCTGCTGGAGGTCAGGGACATGAAAACAAGGAAAGCTCGATAGTTTCTCTTTAAAGTAAATAATTAAACAGAAATATTGAGGGGATCTAACAAGATAAAATAATAAACCCAGTCAGGATACCTGCTGTTAGTTGGATAAAACTAGTGGCAACGTTTCTACAAGTCAGGCGTTTACAGATTTCTGTTACGACATCTTGCTAAGGTTAGCTCTGCTCGGCTAGCTGCTTCTAGTCCGAGTCTCCAGGAAGGTTTCCAGTCATGGACAACAACTCACAGGGATCGGGGGGATTCAAAGCGGGCCTCGGGGGTCTTTTTGGCGGTGGTGCCCCTGAATACTCCAACACAGAGCTCGCCGGTGTCCCCCGTAAGTACCTGCGATGCTAGCTGGTTAGCTGCTGTCACATCGCTCACCTGCTGAATGTTACCGTTAAACTTCTTTAAACATTTAACCATGGTGATGTCATTATTCCAGTGACAGGGATGAGTCCTCTGTCCCCCTACCTCAACGTCGATCCCCGTTACCTGGTTCAGGTGAGCTGAGCATCTGGGCCACGATAGAGAGGTTTTATTCTATTACGAGAATAAAGTCATAAAATTACGAGAATAAAGTCGTAAAATTATTTATTTATCTATTTCTTATTTATTTAATCAGGACAGAACAATCAATGAACAATCTTATACTTCTGTATAGTTTGTAAATGAGCCGGATTGTAGCATAGTTGCTCATTTACATCTGTGCTCCTGAGGCAGGAAGACAAAACAACACAAGATCACATAAAACAATATCCATCAAAACACATAGAAACACGTTCAGACAATAACATTACAACAATAAAATTAGTGAGTGGGAACTTTTAAGAAACTGTTTAAGATGCTTTTTAAATGTGCAATAAGTGGGACATTCCCTTGATGTTTGTTCCAGAAGTGACCCCCCCCTGACTGATAGAAGGGTTTGTCCAAAGGTTGTTCTTCTGTGGGGGATCTCTAGGTCTCCTCTGGAAGAGGCTCTGGTGTAAATACGTCTGACAGGTCTGATCTAGGTAGAAAGAGGAGGTGGGGCTAATCCATTCAGAACTTTGTAAATTAAACAACTATTTTCAAAATTAATAAAATTTTCAAGATTTAGCATATTACATTTTTTCCAAAATATTACACTGATGGAATGACAGGGGCTTTTGATCAAAGATTTTTAAAGATTTTTTCAATAATATTTCTATTGGTTTTAAAATGTGTCCCATTATCAGAACAAAGTCGTAAAATTACTAGAATAAAGTCCTAAAGTTACTAGAATAAAGTCGTAAAATTACTAGAGTAAAGTCCTAAAGTTACTAGAATAAAGTCCTAAAGTTACTAGAATAAAGTCGTAAAATTACTAGAATAAAGTCGTAAAATTACTAGAGTAAAGTCCTAAAGTTACTAGAATAAAGTCCTAAAGTTACTAGAATAAAGTCATAAAATTACTAAAATAAAGTCGAAAAATAACGAGAATAAATTTGTAAAGTTACGAGAAAAAGTCATAATATTACAAAAAACAAGTTGTATTTTATTACAACTCTTCCCAGAAGCCCTTTCTTCCCTAAAGTGAGGAATGTGGAGCATCATGGAAAGTTCCACTTTAGCATCAGTTTGACAAATCAGGAAATCTTTTAGCAGCAGCATCAAACTGGGCAGGATGTTAAAGTGGACTCTGGTTGCTGATTGGTGGAGCTGGTCGGCCGTCATCTGGGTTAGGGTTTCTTTCTGAAATGAGTTGTTGTATGATGACTTTATTCTCGTAATAGTACAACTTTTTTCTCTTAACGTTATGACTTTATTCTCGTAATAGAAGAAAAATAATCTCTAGCCTGGCCCTAATACTCCGTCGTACACTGCTGTGTATTAAATTAGTTGTTGTTTTCTTTTTTGCCTGTACTAATCTAAGATGTGTGATTTTTAGGACACGGATGAGTTCATTTTACCAACAGGGGCCAATAAGACCAGAGGACGGTTTGAGCTGGCTTTCTTCACTATTGGAGGATCCTGTATGACTGGTGAGGAGCTCAGTCTGCTTCTAAAATGAGCTGCTTAGCAAATATGCTGCTGAAGATTCTTCCAGGTCATAGTCATTCCAAAAAAAATTAACGTTTCTCTTCCATCCAGGAAGCTTTTCAAATAAAATGTGAGAAATAGCGTTGAGTTCCAGGTTTTATAAATCAGCCCATCAACCACTTCAAGCTTCTTTTGAATTGAAAAAGCTTCCTGGATTGGAAGTAAAATGTCTTCAAACTTGGAAACAAAGTCCAGTGGATTGTGTTTTTTTTTTTTT